TATATATTCATTCATTCCTTGGAAGTGCCTTCCCTAGCTCGAGGAAATTAAAATTCCATTCTAAATGCTAGTCTAATTTTATCCATTAAGTTTTCTGTGCTCCAAATCTGTTTGTTCTCCTACTCACTCCTGTGGCCGCAATTAGGGGCCTCACTGATGCTGATTACTTCTTTTTAATCATCATGAAACAGCTTTATTTTATTTAGGCAATTGCTGAACACCTAGGCAGCTGAGCGGCAAATGCTCCTGCCACTGCCACTGAGAGCTCCAGGGCAGATCTGCATGCAGGCAACATATAGGTTCTGCCTGGCCAGTACTTTGTAGGATTACCTACTAGGAACAGTGTGACTTGAAAGCCTTTCCCAAATGTGCATTTTTAGTCTTCCTTTAACACACCCTCTTATACATGTTGGAGCTGTATATAGGGTATGATTGAAAAATATGTTATCTGTTTAAATAAAAAAAATTATTACAGGAAAAGACACACTGCCACTAATTCTCTTCAGAATAGCCCCCCTCATTTTAAACACACTTAACCCATCATTCCTGCCACCGTTTGAAGCAGTTCTGGAAGTCCTCTTGCGTATCTTTAGTTGTGTGTTTTTGTTGTCTGTCTACCTCATTATTCTAAATTGATCCACAATGACCTTTCACGGTCATTCTGACTTTGGGGAAGAGCTAGAAGTTGCATGGTGCCAGATCCAGTGAATAAGGTGGATGTGGACCACACCATAACGTTTTTACAAGACTGTCTTTCTGGTGAATGATATTTGGCAGCAGCATTTATCATATGTTTTACTGCACCTGGTAGAGACACTCATGAAAAAGGTCTTCCAGAACTGCTTTAGAAAGTGGCAAGAATGAAGGGATAAGTGTGTTGGAAGTGAGGGGAAGTATTTTGAGGGGAAATACTGGCAATTTGTCTCTCACATAGTAAATGTTTTAATTTAAACATTTATCATATTTTTCAATCATGCCTTGTATTTCAAAGATGACTCTGATCCTAATGAGGAAAAGTTTTCTTAGAATAATGTTCCCTGGTGGTCTCACAAGTGGAGACATAGACTTCATAATCTGTCATTAAGCCTCTTTTCTTCTTGCTTCTAACCCCATTTGTACTGCTTTCCTATCACAGCTATTGCAATTCTTATGTCCCTGAACTCTGTGAGGGGTTTCAGGCTTTGGTAAAGCACACAAATGAACAGATAAATACAGAGGAGCTTTTCCCTGGGGAGATGAGCTTCCTCCTCCCACAGAGAGAGTCTCAAGCCCCATGTGGAACCTAAGGTTGGGTTCTGTAATCTCCCTGTTTTAAGATCTAACGACTTTCTCCATTGGAGAATACTTGCTAATGTTTAAACCAATACTTGCTAATTTTTTTTTCTTCTTTGGTACCGGGGATCGAACTGGGATCCTTGCACTTGTGCAGCAGGCGGGGAAACACTTGCTAATGTTTTAAACAGTAATTACCTCTCCACCCAACCCTTCCTTAACTTTTCTAGCCAGAAGGAACTGTTTTTCCCTCTAACAGTCGTTTGCATGGTGACACCTCTGTGTCCGGCCCTGTGCTGAGTTGTACAGCTATGAAAATGAAGGAGAGCAGGTCCTGTCTTTATAGAGGGTAGGGTGCTGTGGGCATGCATGTAAGTACAGGGCAGTAGGATCAGAGGTTAGGCATGCCTTCCTTTGTACTCCCATTGTACCTGCACTGTCCTGGGTGACCCTGGGCCATTCACACTTTGAAATCATGGAGGTAGAGACTGTATTTTCTTTCCTTCTCCTTTGCTTACCACTTTCCCTTCCCTTCTTGCCTCACAGCTCTAGCACAGTTCTTCGAATAGAATAGTTACTCAAGGACTATCTGTTGAATGCATTAGTCCTCTAAATATTTTAGTTTATTTCAAATGTGATTCTGCTCTCAATCTTTTTGTTAGGGCCATTTCATTTATCTTAGAAGATAAATTGATGCATGGTCCTATTTCCCAAACTAATTATTGTTTTCATGACATTATTTAGGCTTTAAATTCTTCCTGTATTTTTCAAGTGGGTATAGAGTCTTGTGAGAATGTGCCCAATGTCCACTGTCTTTGGGAACTTTCATTTCATGAAACTAAATGATAACAAAAATAAAAATTTTCAGCTTAATCGACCACAGCTCCTTTTCTGATAAAAATCCCTAGAAACCACAAGAGTCTATCTCTGTAATGATGAAAAGGCCTATTCCCATTGGGAATTTACCATTAGACAATAAAGTATTAAGCCAAAAGCTGAAAATTCAAATTTTCACTTCAAACTTATGAAGAAACATGAAAATTTAGCTCAAGAAGTACTCATGCATCACCTGAGACAGCAGAGGAGGGATTGTCCATGTATGGCCAGAGTCGAAGGTCAAGTACTTACTTGGGTGGACCTGGAGTATTGTTCCACCTCCAAAAGTGAGTGTTCCACCACCAGTGTATACACCTTGGTGCAAAGCAGTACAAATACCTGGCCTCTGCTACCTGGGGCAGTTACCTGCAACCCCTTATACATTTAGAGCCATCTTTCTTAGGAAACAAAGCTTTCAAACAGTTTATTCTACAATTTTGATGTTTTTTGATGCTGTTTTTCTTTCCAGGTAGATGTATACCTAATAAATAGTCTTGCTAAGTTTCTACCTCCCTCTCTGCAGTTCTTGTATTTGCCAACCCCATTTATGATTTCAGAAATGTTGAGTCGGTCTGTCAAGGTCATTCACTGTAGCAAGAGGGCTCAGGATGGGCAAACCACAGGCCAAACAGGTAGCCTTTGAGGTGAGGATCTTCCTTCATAGAGTGCAGGAGGGATGGTGGAAGCAATGCAGTGATTTGGTTCAAACAAGACTCTACAGTCAAATAGGTTTGAGTTAAACTATGGCTATGTTATTCCTAGCTATGTGATAATGGGAAGAATCTTATCCTAAGCCTCCATTTCTTTATTTGTAAAATGGGCACAATACCAGTTACCTATCAGGATGAATATGTTCATTGGATAAGGACTTCTAAAAAGGACAGAGTGTCATCTGCTGGGGTTCAGGGGACATGGTGGTAGAGAGTCAGCCCTAGGGAACAGGGGCAGGGCTGACCTATTGGTGCCAAGAAGAAAAGCTCTACTTCAGAAATAAGATGTGATATAATAAGAGTAAAATAATAAGAGTGAAGTCCCTTTTCTCAAAATTTGAGTATTTGTCCTCTAAAAGCAAAACCCTTAGCAAGCATAGCGTCAATTATTCCATTAGATCTGACAGGAATAGTCACTCCTGCTCAACAAAGGGCTTCTTTCAAGATGGAGCAGACCACAGCACACTTTCACTCTCGAGATGCCCTTCCATAAGATTGTCTAAAAATGTCCTCTGATCATTTCAGTGATACTCACATGGATGAACAATGAGGCCGGTCCCTCTTCCAAAGGTAAGTTTGTAGTTTCCTCCTGATACTCACAGTGAGGGAAGCCTTTGATAAATCTTGTCTCCTGTTACCTCTCTACCACTGCCCCAGTGAGGGTGGGGCAGCAATCCAGGGAGACACTAGTCAAGCTCCTGGTCTTGCTGGACACCTGTCCTGCTGTCTTTAGAGCCCTAGGTTCCTAGGGCCACAGACTGGAGCCAGGGGTGAGGGGGCTGGGGAGCACCTCGACTCCCAGTTACCTTGAGAAAACACCTCTCTCCTGTCTGCAAAGCAGCAGGGCAACAACCTCCTACATCCTAACCCTAACCCCCAGGATCACTATTACCCCTGGTTCTTGGGGCCAATGCTCTGAAGGTCTCACTCTGTGTCTCTTTTATCAGACAGAAGCAAGCAGCTTCTGAAAATGCCCTGAAGATGGAGAGTGAAGGAAATTTTATCTGATATTTTGCTGAAACTATTCTGATCGTCTGTCCTTGAAGCTCTCCTTGTTCTCATCCTTCCCTTTTCATAGCTCCTAGATGCTTCCCACTCTCAGCCTTCTTTCCTACACCAGGCCTAGAGGTTTGATTTCTGCATAATCCCATCCGAGCAAGACTCCAAGCATATTCAGGCTGTTCTTGTGATTTTTATCCTTTCCTCTTTACCACTTGGGAATAGGCCAAGGCACCCAAGGCCCTTGGATTCCTTTATTTCTAGTGACCTTGACTCAGTTATGGCCCTGTGTCTATGAAACCCTAGGACTACAGACAAAAAGGTCACAACACTTTCCATAAAACTTCCAAAAGACAGGAGAAATCAGAACTCATGTGCCTACATCAGAGAGGAAAAAGTGAGGCTTACAGCAATCATAGCTGGGTCTACCATTCCGAGCCAAGGCAGGAGCTCAGCCTTCAGTCCCCAGTCCTTGTGTGCTTCCAGATCGCAGCATATCTCACACTGAGTCTAAAGGTCACATTGGCAAAGAGCTGGGACTTGCCCTGCTCTGTGCTGACCTTCTGCATGAGGCTGCCCCTGAGACATGACCAAAGTGTCCCCAAGGTTCTTCCAGCTCTCACTTCTGTGGTCCTTCCCTCAGAGGACTGCACAGCAGCTTCATATAGAGAATGGAAGTGTGGTCAGGGGAGGTGCCAGGAGAAGGGGAGGTGGAAGAAATCAGGGTCTGCAAAGATTTGGGGCACTTCTCATTTAAGATCCTTGGGTGTGACACTGATGAATGATACAGCCTTTCCTCCCTTCCCTAGAAATACAACAAGAAACTGGCCAGCACCAGGGTGGCCCCGTGGAGGGTAGTTCAGAGAAGATCCCAGCTCACTTACTTGGTAGGACAACCACTTGAGTCCCCTTCCCAAAAGTCAGTCTGTTGTTGCTGTAGGTACACTCTGAGAAAGTGCATTACAAAAAGGTCTAGGGTTTGCTTATCCTCTCATGGGGACACAGCCCTTTCACACCCAGGAACAACTAATCCTGAAGTGTTCCCTGTGATGGGTGGTTGGCGGACCCCTCCTTAATGGGGAAAACAGCACCAGCCCTCAGTTCCTCCACGGCCTTCCTTTTCCTCCTCACAGCCACCAACAAACATTGTCTCTGGCCATTTCTCTTTTGGGAAAAACAGAGTCTTTACAAAACTGTGAAACACAATGCTTCCTACGTAGTCCTGGTGGGTGTGAGTGTTTCTAAAGATACCATGGAGCAGGTGGGTATTTTCCCACCTCATTTTCCATGCTTGAGAAGAAGTCCCTATTTTCTTGGCGACACATTCAAAAACGTATCTTTCACTTTGCCAGAAAGAATAGAAATAAGATCATTTCCAGCCCACTGCACTAGGGCACATGCTAAAAACATGTCTCGGTATGACTAAGAGCCACTGTGCCCCTCTGGGGCTGAGCAAGAGTCCTGGGTGACTCATGCTCAACTCACTCATGTTTCTGTCCTCATCTCACTCAGAGATGCTAACTTCCAGTGGGGCCTTTTGTTCTCAAGAAAGTCAGACATCTCAGCATAGAACAGACTCAATCCATTCCCAGAGACATATGTATAGGCTGGAATCCTATTCTCTGCCAAGGAATTTGGAGGGTCCATTGCCGTCCTGTCCTGTCCAGCCTGTAGGGCTCCCTGCTCCTCCATTCTCCATCCTGGCACATGCACATACAAACTTGTCATTATGAGGGCTTCGTTTCTCTGAGAAGATTGGAAGTTCCTGAGATCAGTGGCCACATTTTAGGCTCCCTTCTTTCTTTCCTTTGTTTCTTTCTTTTTAAACCAACTATGGACCCTGGCTTGTTGATGACACTCAATAATCATCTACTGTGTTGAACTGACTTTTTCTATGCATAATTACTGGGACAAGGAGGCCGGTTATGGGAGAGGTTAGATGCTAAGTATACTCTGAGTAAATGTGAGCTGTAAAATCTAAGTGCGTAGGCAAGGAAAAACCAAGGAAGCATTTCTAAGAGCAATAATAAGGAAGCAGTATAAAAACCAAAACATCTCGAGGTTTGTGTTGATCCTCAGCAGAGAGATGGGAACTAAATAAAAAAATAAAAAAACTTGGACTCAAAGGAAGTGAACATTTTTCTCCCAATATCTTGACAGCAACTTTCTTTAAAGGTTAAAAAGAATAAGGGCTGGGCATTTAGTTCAGTGGTTCTGCCCCCTGCCTCGCAAGCACAAGGAGGCCAGTTCAATCCCTGGTACCAAAAAAAAAAAAAAAAAGAATAATGATGGCAGAAAATCTATACCCTAAGTTAGCAGGATTATTATGATTAATACCAAAATAGTAATAATAAGAACCTATTACATTCTAGAGTAATGGCTATACATATAAATAAATATACAAATGTAAATTCAATATTGGGGTGGGGCTACACATTTCTGGAGTTCTGACTTACTTGGGCTGACCAAAAGTTGTGTACCAGTTCCAAAGATGAGCTTCTGAATACCCATGTTCCCACTCTGACATAACTCTATACAAAATGGTACCCTGTGGCTGGACCTGCCTGGGATTCCCACACGACACTCAAATTTCTTATTGTGTTCCTGCCTCTGTGTGTTTACACCAAAGTGGCAGGAGGCTTACAATTTTACTATTTAACCTTCATTTTCCCAAGACCATTGGAAGATGACAAGAAATAAGGCTGAATGCATAGGAGGTGGGTTCTGTATATAGTGGATTATATAAAAATATCACTATTATTCAGAATGAAAAGTCATTCATGTAATTACAGAGTTTCAGTTCTAGACAGGTGCTAGAGGAGTTTTATCCATCCATGTTTACTAAATGTTTGTTGTATGTTTCTTCCAGGAATGATGCTAATGGGTATCATATAACACAACATTGTTATTGTCTACTTATCTTCTTCTTTAAGCAGCAAAGCTATGCCTCCACACTCTCCTCAACAAAAAGAAAAAAAAAATCAATGAAAATAGATGTGCCTCAATCGTAACACGAATCAGGTTATTTCATGGAACTTACTTGCATTTACCAATAGTCTTGTTCCTGTTCCAAAAATAACTTTGTAGCTTCCAGTATTTCCCACAGTGATTTGTCCTGTGACAAAATGCGGTATTTCCTTCACCTTCCATTTTTATTACACACCTAGGGGGCAGGTTCAGGAAGCCTGCAGTAAGGTGCTAGTAGTAAGAGAATTTAAAAATACTCTTTTAGTAAAACCTACTTGATATTTTCCTGATTTTTCATGAATTAATTTTACCACCTATTCACAGAAAGTTAGTTCTCCAAACTGTAGTCACGGAATAGGGTCCAGGAACAGGCCCCCCAGGTTTTAGTTTCAGCCCTAGTTCTCACTGACTGTACGATATGGGATAATTAAATTAACCCCTCTGCCTCTTAATTCCCGTATTGGAAAAGTGAAGAGTGCCGAACTAGATGATTTCTAAGCTCCTTAGAGCTAAAGTTCTATGATACAATATCTATGGTGAGAATAGATAAATTCCATGTATTTCCCTATTCGCTGTGATTGGGAACACTTCTCATTTCTAAGCAAATCCTGGCAGACAGTCTGAGACAGTATGTATTAGAAAGAGCAGGGCTTCGAGATCAGGCAGGTAGACCCAGATTTGAATTTAGGCCTTTTTACTTGCTAGCAATGAAATCTCAGGCAATATCTTCTCTGAGACTTAGTTTTTTCTTCTGTAAAATAGGATGCTCCTCTCTGCTTTACAGAGTGGTTTGAGGATAAACGATGCTATATACTATCTGTCTAGCATCATGCCCACACATTGGAGGCCCTGAGAGGGCAGGTAGTATTTCCAGGTTAAGTTAGATTATTGATTAACAAGACTATTTCTGTAGGGTTACAGAATTTGTTTATGAAATATTGACTTGAGTCCATACCCTTGAGTCAGATAAACTCTAGGGTGATACAGAGTAAGATCCCAGAACTTCGGATTTTGAGTGCTTCAACCCTCTCATCTCCTGGAAGAGTGTGAGGAACACAGAGGGTCACTGACTTGTTTAATAGCACACATCCAGTTGTGGCCAAATCAAATCCAGCCCTTTGGATGAAGCCAGAAGCCCTGGGGTCCTTTCTCTGTACTTCACTACTCTTCATGGGCAATGTTTAGTGTAAAAGGAATGCCTCATCTGTGGAGTGAGTTGGGTATGACCTATTGGGGTGTGGGTAAAAAGACTTGGATATCACCCCCCCCAGTGCTCCTCTGAAAAATGGCAGTGGAAGTCGGAAGGGTCCATTAGACTGTGGCCATACAATTTTCTGGTCTTCTAGCTTTTCCCCTCTATTGGGCTCAATTTAGCTCAATTCTAGTGTTAAAAAGTCTAATGCTGGACAGAGTTTCTGTTAGCCTCAAGTCTTGGGAAAAGTCTTAATGGTTTGCTAAATTCCACCCCAAAGAAATGTTCACGCTCATATAGTCATTGAATACTTTCACTAATTTATCTCCAAGTCACAATTCCTAATGCTTTAGCATTATATTACATTTAATTAAAAATCAAACATAATGACAAAAGCAATACCTCCTTTCCT